AGAGACACATAGAGACAGAAAGCGAGAAATCACCCCCCAGGGGGGATGGTCATGCCGCAATCCCTTCTCCTCCATTCTCCTCTCGGGATCTTGGGCATGCACGCACACGCGCCTGGCGTGAGTTTTAAGCCACCGGGTCCAGGACGCGAACCCTGGTCGACTATGTGGGAGTCCAGTGAGATAGCCATTATGCTAACTGCTGGTTCCCGGGCCTCCTGTTTTTACTTACTAGTTGTGACAACCCTAATCATGCCTCGCTGAACAGACTTGGAGACACCGAGGAATGAAAAACTCTGTTGCAGGCCAGAGGAGGGCCTGAAAGCCTGACTGGGCCACATGGCTGTGTGGAGGTGGGGCTCCCTTGAGGGGAGGATCTTCAACACTGATTGGGTTTCTTGGAGGAACCGAGCAGCCACCTGGAGAAAATACCACTTCTTGGGCTGGCCCTGAAGCCTACTGGTTAAAGGAGCTGGAGTTCACCTGGCTGATCACAGTTGAAATCCCAGCACTGGCAGCTTGAAAAATGTATGGTATGTGCCCTAAATCCCAAGAGGATGAAGGAGAAGGTATTGCGGGGTGGCCGTATCCCACTGGGGATGCTTCTGCCTGCTCCCTTCCTCCCTCTCTCTGTCTCTAGCAAGTGCGTGCACCCTCTGGCAGTTAAAGGGCAGCACACGTCTTCCGGGGAAACTCGGAGACCGCGTGTTCAGGAGACTGCCTCACTTTGACCCTAATACATCGGAAAGAACTGCCATCCCCGCAGCCGTCACCAGAACTGGGCACTGCTCAGAGAGCACGTGCCTTCCTCTCTGCTCCCCAGCCCCAGGTGGGTCCAGAGGGATGCCGGTACCCCGCTCCTGACACCCTCCCCACCCCACCTCCCTAACTCGGGCCCTTGGCCTGTCAGCCCCTGTGGGAACCCAGTGCTGGGTGGAGACCGTGAACCCAGGGTCAGTTACCCACCGTCCCTCCCAGATCAAGTCCTTCCCTCCCGGAGTGAGGCTGATTCACTGGCTCTGAGTGCTAGCACTCACATTTCCGCTTAGTTTCCCAAAGACTCCCGGTGCTTGGGATAAAATCTGAACTAGTCACCAGCAGTTGGCATGATGGCTATGTTGCTGGACTCCCATGTAGTCGACAGCAGTTCGAGTCCCAGACCTGGTGTCTTAAACTCACGCTGGGCGCGTGTGCGTGCGTGCCCAAGATCCCGAGAGGAGAATGGAGGAGAAGGGATCATGGTGTGGCCATCCCCCCCTGGGGGTGATTTCTCACTTTCTGTCTCTCTTTCTCTCTCTGCCTGTCTGGCAAGCACACGTGCCCTATAGTAAAAACCTCTCAAAAAAACAAAAACAAAAACAAAAACAATCTGAACTAGTCACCAGGCTCATTGGGCAGTCACCCACGGTCCCTGCCTTCCAGCAGCCTCCTGCCCCTCCCAGGCCCCTTTCTGCTCGTCCTCAAGTACGCCTGCTTGTGCCCGGCCGGGAGTGTTTGCACGTGCTGTTCCCTCGGCTGCAATGCTTCCCTTCAGACCCCTGTTGGGCTGGTCACGTCTCCGCTTCTGAAGCCTGGGAGGGCCGCCCTGCCTGCTGCCGTGTCCAGGTACTCTCTACCTCAGTGCCCCGTTCTTTTTCCTCGCGGCACTTGCCAGGAGCTGAGGCCATGGTACGGGCATACGTAGGGTACTGAGCGGCCAGTACCAGTGCTCCAGCACATAACTCCCAGTGGGCAGGCGCCCTCTCTGTCCGCTCCCACCAGGTGCCCAGGGTTTTAGCCCTGGCAGCTTCTCCATGGGCCTTTGTTGTGTAAATAGTTTCCATTTAATGAGTTTACTTGAGGGTGCAAAGTGCAAAGCCTCAGTTGCCCCGAACAAGTAGCCACAGCAGACCCGCAGACTGGCTACGACATGCTGTCCCCACCCTAAGGGGCCTCGTGTGAAGTAGAATTAGTCACATGAAGGTTACACATGTCACACAGCTGCTAGGTCAGGACGTGAGTTTAGACGGTCCCAGAGGCCGCGTGCTTCCAAGCCACACCGCGGCCTCTCCATGTGTACTACGGAGCCTCTCCCTGTGCGCCACGCTGAGAGGTCCTCCCCGACTTGCCAGGGCCTTGTGCCAGGCACAGTGAGGGGGCAGGATGGAGCAGACTGGTCCCGAGTGGGGAGGAGAAGCCGCATACACACGCACACACACCGTGCAAATGCACGTGCGATCGCAACCACAGCCAGGGCGGGGCGTGCCGAGTGTGCCGAGAGGTGTGAGTGCATCTCAGAGGGTGGGAGGAGGAGGCCTCATCGGAGAGGCCGAGCAGCGCGGGGAGCCCTGGGGCAGAGGTATAGCCGTGGCACACCAGTAGAGGGACCACCTCTGTAAGGAGGTGTTGGTGGCGCTGCCAGCCCACCACTGACCGGCCCCTGCCTAGGCCCGGGCCACTGTCTGGGCCCCAGAAGAGCAAGGGCCCGAGGGCGCCAGGCCTTACTTTTCTTGTGGCTGTAGAACTTGTCCTCAGAGCCATCCTTGGACTTCTTGATGATCAGTTTCCCGGACTCAACGTCCACCTTGAGCTGCATTTTCTGAGGGATCCCCAGAGATTCCGACTTCACCTGTGAACAGGAGACGTCCCTCACTGATTTTCTGGCCGGGCTTTGGCAATGCCAGCCCGAGCCCCTTGTCCATGGGCCGGCCAACTCTTGGTTGCTACATCCCATGGGGATGTAGAGCCACGGGGCTTCCATTCCCGCCCCCTCGGCATCGCGCGTGCATGTATCCATGGCGGTCCCAGGACCACCCAAACTCCAGGAGGGGCCCAGCTTGGCCACGGTGTACGTGGCAGCCAAGTGCCAATGGCATGGTGGAGGAAGCGGATGAACTGCTGCAAAATGGCCCCTTGCTGGGGACTTACTCTGGTGTGTCGTCTACTTACAGAAAGGAATTAGTAATGCCCTGAAAGTCCCGGGCCTGGTTACAGCCATGGACTGAACACTCACTGACGGTTAGGAGACGAACCCTCGGCCCGCTCAGGAAGCGGCCTCTGTCTCAGCACAGGGTTAGCGCCAGGCCAGGAAGGACCTGGGGCGGGGAGTGTGGGCTCTCGAACACATTCCCGTGGGCAGTGCCAGTGCTGGGCCAGGTGCCAGACTCTCCGGGCACCACGAAGAAAAACACATCTGGTCCTAGGCAGGAGATGCCAGTCTAGTCCATGCCAGCGAAATCGCGGGGACTCATTTTTTCCCTAGCTCTCCCCCTGTACCATGAGACACAACTCTGTGGCCTGTTTGGGGGCTCCCTGTCTGATGTCACTCATCACCCCATTTTGAGAAGGACCAAGTTTCCATAGCAACTTGGGCCAATAAAAAACTATCCCCATGTAGGGGGGCCTGCCATGGGACGGGCTCCTTACTCTTCTTCAGCCCAAGCCAGGAGCACTCTTCCCACAGGGACCAGAATGTCCTCTGAGCCCCCAAGTGTGGCACACGGGACCAGCCGACAGCCACTTACCTCAAAGGTGACGGGAGGGATGATGGAACGGCGGTGGGGAGACTCGGAGCCCTCATGCAGCAACGCCTTGACCTGTGGACAGCAGCGTGTGGGACAGGCAAGCCACGCAAAGCCCGCCCACCAGTGGTCTCCGCAGAGGGGACCGAGAGCACCGAGGGGTGCCGGCGCCCGTCAGTACCTTGTCTTCGATGGAGGACAGCAGGCTTGTCAGTTGGCTGAGCTTGGACACCATGTGGACTGGGTTGAGCTCTCCAGGCACCTGGCAGGTGGGGGACAGTGTCACCAGGGCAGCATTCGGTGCACGTGAGCCACCGGGAGGCAGGCCCGCACGTGTGCTCTGTCCCAGGTCCTCCTCCCAACATCCGACACCTGCTGCTATTCACCCCTTTGCAGACGAGGGCACCCGGGGTATCTATGATCACCCCCAGGTTCTGCTGAAACCTCTTCATTTCTTCTTGCCTCTGAGCCTCCCCACCCTGCCCCGTGTTTCTCGGCTCACTCACTGGTTGCTGAAGCAAAACTCCAGGACCGACCTTGATTGTGACCTTTCCCAGCCCACATTCCTGGGCTGGCATCCTGCTCTACTTCCAAGCTGCACCCATCCCACCACTTAAAACCCACACCAGGTCGCCTCCCACTGCAGGGCAGCTCCTTCCCTGCCTCTACGGGTCAGTATGACTCTGCCCCTCCGTGTGACCCGACACTCTCTCCCTTCACTTGGCTCTGCATCCAGCTACACTTTCTGAGAGATCTGAGAGACTGGGATTTCCCCCGGAGGGCACCTCCTAGCCACTGAGATCTCAGAGCCACAAAGAGGTCTTCCTCGACTTCCCTCTCTCAGTCACCACCTGGTCATCTCTGTGGAACCACCCAACTTCGGTTCATGTCAATCACCACAGCTGAAGGTATTGTCCCCGAGCCCTAAGAGAGCCAAAGGGACTCCATATTGTACTTAGTCTTGGGAGTCCATCTTAATAGATTAACCCTTGGGCCTAACACCTAACTAATGAAAGTTAACAATAACCTTGCTGAGTCTTTACAGATAACCAGGCAAAGGAGATGGGGGAAGGAGGGAAGATGCCACCAGTGCCCACCCCCACCCCACCCTGGTGACCAGTTGAGAAGACTGTATAGCTCAAGCACTGCAAAGCCACACATGGACCCTCACTGCTTCTAAAACAGGATCTGAGAATTGTCTTGACTAACTCCATTTTGCTCCTGCTGCATCATGAATCTCTGCTCATCTTCAAGCCCCTTGCACAGAACTGAAGCCGTTCACTCACCCTGGCATGGATAAACACTGCCCCTCAAGCAGCGATCATCTTCCGGCCACTCTCAGGTCCCCCTATGATACTGCCCAAAGATAGTGACCTGGTGATTTTGCCCTAAGATAGATAACTTGCCCTTTGCTTCTCCATTACACTCACACTGACCCCCATCCCTATATAAGTCCTGTGTCCTGTTCAGAGCAGTGGAGGTAGTCCTAGACTCAGGCCCACTAGGTCCACTCTCTACTCAGTGCTGATCGCATTGAGTGAATTCCTCTCCTTGTTAATCAGCTCCTATCTCTTGAGATTGGCTTTATGGAGCAATGAGTGGCACACACCTGATTTCTGGGCCTCCTTCATCTGTGCTCACATATGCCTCCCCTGCTAGAGCAGAGTCCATGAGAAGGGGCAGGGACACAGTGGCCAGCACAGCAGCCTGGGTGCTCCACACAGTGCTGGCCAGTGGAGATGTTCAGGAGGGCTGTTCAGTGAATATCCAGGGGCTCATACTGCTTGCCCGGGGTCCCACAGCTAGTGAAGGGCAGGGCAAGACTATCTCCATCCCCCTGGCCCCAAGTCCACGGTCTCAGGGACCATGAGTTAGGAAGCAGGTATTCTAGGCCAGACAAGCTGCCAGGTGCTGAGAGGCTGTTAACTAAGCACACCCCCACCCACAAGATGAGATCAGGCACAATATGGTGGGCTTAAACACCAGAAAGGAATGAGTGGAAATCCCACCAGGTGCCATCCCCTTACCTCACCCCTTCCTCAGTATATCATCCAGGCTACACTAGCCTTACTCTCAAGTTTCCACCCAGCGACTTCAGTCTGCCACCTCTACCGTCACCATCACCGTCACCACTGGCGCCTCGGTCACCGCCATCAGTAGCATCGCCATCAACAGCACCACCAGAACTGTCACCACCCCATCACTAGCAACACCACCACCAACTCCACCCCCATTGTGATCATTCCCCTCCTTCCTCACCATCACTACCACGCCCACCACACCGATCCCCCACCACGCCACCCCCGCCATCATGAAGGCAGCTATTTGCCAGTGTTTCCTGACTACATTTTGGGGTTCCCCCACCCTGATAAAGCTCACAGTCCCTCTAGTGTTATTAGTCAAGGGAGAAGCTTGGAGAGTGGACCTGAGCCTTGGGCGAGAACAGAGCGGAAGGGCTGTAGACAGGGCAGTTCAGGGGCTCCTCGCTTGTGGGTTTTCTCATGACAAACTGAAAAGATACCACCGATGCAAGCCCTTCATTTTCCTTCCTGGGTGCTTGAACTACCTGCTGGCCGTCACCGAGTGGCTTTAGGCTGGTGTCTCCCTCCCTTATCTCTTTGGCTTTGGGACTTTTTGGGAGAGGTATGGCAAAATCTTTGGAGGCATAAATTCAGTTACTGACCAAGTAACTAAAAGTATTAGAAAAATGCTGCACTGTTTCTACAGTTCTGTCTAATAACAGTGATTATTTGTTGCATTCTTACAGTGTGCCAAACACATTTAAAATGTTCGAGAGGGGGACCAGCAGGTGGCGTAATGGCTATGTCACTGAACTTCCATGTTTCTGACCATGGTTCGAGTCCCAGACCCAGTGGCTTAAACTCACACTGGGCATGTGTGTGTGTGTGCCCAAGATCCTGAGAGGAGAATGGAGGAGAAGGGGCTGCGGCGTGGCCATTCCCCCTGGGGGGTGATTTCTCGCTTTCTATCTTTCTGTCTCTCTCTGTCTTTCTGGCGAGCACACATGCTTTATAGCAAAAACCTCTCAAAAAAAAAGAGAGACAGGAGGTTTTCACTGAAATGTGAATTATGAAAAAACTACGCATGATTTCAAAAGTTTTTGTGCATGTAAGCCCCTAAGACAGCTGCTGATACAATGTGGGCCATTAATGGTTTTATACAAATGGCCAAATTGCCTTTTAGAAAACCTATTCAATCCAGGCTGGCCCCATAGCCTAATGGCTAAGGGAGTTGGTTCCTATGTGGCCAACTGTGGTTCAAGTCCTGGCTCCAGCAGCTTGAAGAGCACCCTGGGTACATATATGCATGCCCCAAATTCCCACAGGATGGAGAAATGGAGGAGAAAGGACTGTGGCGTGTCTAGACCCCACTGTGGGGTGCTTTCTCCATCTCCCTCAGGGCAGGGGCAGATCCATGCACCCTCTGGTGATTAGAAAACAAAACAAAAACAGTCACAGAAACACATTTCCACTCCGAAAAGCCAGGAAGTGAGCCCAGGGCCATCTACACCAGAGGCCGGCCCAGCCCTCATTCATCGGTCAACTGCGGCATTAGCTCTTTGCCTGCCATAGGAGAGTAGAGATCTCCTTTCTTTTTCTTTTTTTTTTTTTTTACACGAATTATTTAATTTTCAATTTTATTTATTATTATTATCATTGTTATTCTTATCAATTTGCTATAGGGCACATGCGCTCCCAAGACAGAGAGAGAGAAAATGAGACATCAAGCCACTGGGTCCAGGACTCGAACCGTGGCTAGTTTGTGTGGGAGTCCAGTGCCTTAAATACCACGCCACCTGTTGGCCTCAAGATCTTGTTTTGAATGGCATTGCCTATTACTAAGAGGTGAGGTCAAATGTCTTTCCTTGTCTCTCTCTTTTAAATTAGTTTTTGCTATAGGGCACATGTGTGCTTACCAGAGAGAGACAAGAGACAGAGGGGAGAAAGTGAGAAATCACCCCCCACCCCCACCCCCCCGGGGCGGGGAGGGATGGCCACACTGCGATCCCTTCTCCGTTCTTCTCTCAGGGTTTTGGGAAAGCAAACACACATGTATCTTTTTATGTGAATATTGGCTATTCCTCTTTTCTCCCTAGAGAATATCATTCTTCCATTTAAAAAATCAGGTTCTTAAATTACGTTTTTTGGGGTGAAGGTCGACTCACACATGGTCAACTGCAGTTTGAGTCTTGGACCTGACAGCTTGCTTTCTCACTCTTCCTTTCTCTCTCTCTGGTCAAATTAAAAAATAATAATAAATGAAATTAGATAAATAACTCTTTTTTTTAAAGGGTTATTTTTACTTAATTATTTGTAGGAGTATTTTTTTTTCTTTTTTTAAGAAAATCAGTCCTTCATCCCTAATATCATGGCAAATATCTTCCCTTGGGAGGCAGCTTTCACTTGTTTAATGCTGTTGATGACACCTTTGGTTACACACAGCAACCTCTGCTTAATCAACAACTTGGCCGTGGCCCCTGCCAGGCCATGAGCAGGTGCAGAAGTGGGAGTGGGAGGCTCCTTCGTCTTCCTCTTCTTGGGGCCAGAGGCGGGATCAGGTTCTGGCTTCCTCGCCAGGCACTAAGTAAGCAGGCCTGCCAGTGGATGGGTGCAGAATCTGAACTCTGTTCCTCAGATCAAAATCTGGGTGCTGAGGCGCCCACCCCCACCCAATGCACACGCTTCCATTGCCCAGCTAAAGTGGGGTGAGGTGCTCTCTCCTTCGCTCTGAGCCTCTGGGCACTGGCGAACTCACCCCCTCCCTGGCATCTTGCTCTCATCTTTCCATCCCAGACCCTTTACCTGAGGACGGGGCCGGAGGCCAGGGGACAGCTGCTGGTCAAACAACCTCTGCAGAGACTCCAGGGATGGGAGGGTCCGGACCACTTCACTGGGGGTGGAGGAGGGACAAGGGGAAGGTCAGGGTTAGTGAGGACTGACAAGAGGTTTCAAGGCAGTGTGGACTCTAATGGAGACACGGTCACCCCATCCAGCAAAGGCAGGTATCCTTCCAGGACAAGCCCGGGCAGGGATGGAGGCGTGGTGTGGGCCCAGCCTCGCTCTCCCACACCCCTGCCCGTCTTGGATCTAACTGCAGCTGGGGTGTGAAGTACTGATCTCACCTTAGCTGCTCAGCCCCTGGACTAACTACGCAGACTGCAGGGAATTTGAGTCTAGAATCAGAAAAATACTTGAAGTCACTTTGTAACTCTGATTTCCAACCTTTAGTGTTTACAGATCCCCACGTCCTCTCTCACACAGACAAACACACACACAGTTATTAAAAATGCATTCGGGCGACAGGTGGCATGGTGGTGAAGCACTGGACTCCCACATGGCTAGTCCCAGACTTTGCAGCTTGCTTTCTTACTCCACTTCTCTCTTTCTTCCTCCCTCTGGTCAAATTAAAATAATAATAATAACAAATAAGATAAATCATTCTAAAAAATGCGGATTTCAGGGCTCCATTTTGATTTGGTCTGGAATCTGCATTTTACATCCAGCAGCCTTCCGTGCTGGAGGTCTGTGGATTCTGATGCAAATCCCCACCCAGCTGCGGAGCTGTGTGTGTGTGTGTGTGTGTGTGTGTGTGTGTGTGTGTGTGCGGGGTGGGGCTTATTCACTGTGGAGTCCATTGGCCCCTCCAATGCTAGGGCTTTACTGGTTCTTGGTTCCCTTCTCTTCCTTTTCTATCATTTTCACATTGTGTTAAGTGTGGTGGGGAGGCAATTTTGAGTACTATTTTTCACTTACTATTTCATCAAAAATTGTTCATGTTTTTCCATATTGAACACTAATGGTTTCAAAATATTCTATCAAGAAAATGTGCCAAAGTTGATTGCTAGATATTTGGGTTACTTTGAGATCTCTGCTATTATAAATAAAGGCTGCTCTCAATAGCTTTGTTCATTTAGCTTTACTTTGCTTTTCTTGTTTCCATTTTCTTTTTTTCTCAATTGCCAGTGGACATATGTAGCACGAGAGAGAGAGAGAGAGGGAGAGAGAGAGGATGAGAACATACTCCCTCAGTGACATGGTCATGCCACAATCCTTTCCTCCATCCCATTAAGATTTTGGGCATGTATGTACATGAGCTTTACATGTTTTTCAAGCCAATGGGACCAACATTAGAACTGCGGTTGGCCATGTGGGATCTGGCCCCTACACGCAGGGTGTAACCACCGTGCTACGGGGCTGGCCCTTCTCTGATTTGCAGTTACAGAACAGGTCACCAGGGACTATGGCTCTTGATCAATGTTGCCAAACTCTCAAGCACCAAGTGTACAGTCACTGGTATTTTCAGGTCTGTCTGTCCGACATTTGCACGTTATTTTAATTACACTCGCTCTTTTTTTTTTTTTTTTTTTTTTTTGAGAGAGACTTTTGCTAGAGGGTACGTGCTGAGCTCGACAGAGAGAAATGTGATAGGCAGATAACTAATAATGAGTGGACAGCCCCAAGAAAATAGAGAAAGACACATGCCGCATTAATTACAACTTGTTAGGAGTTACAACTGAACCCTCCATGAAAATGACTTCTTCCCGCTCAGCGCCTGACACCAGGAAGGTGAGGCAAATCCCATTTTTCTTTCCTAGATAGAAAGGGAGAAATCAGCCCCCGGGGGGGATGGTCATGCCCTGTGAGGTTTTTTTGGGGGGGAGAGGTTTTTCCTATGGGGCACATGTGCTCACCGGAAAGATAGAGAGAGAAAGAGAGACAAAAAGCAAGAAATCACCCCCCAGGGGGTATAGCCACGCCACAGTCCCTTCTCCTTCATTCTCCTCTCGGGATCTTGGGCATGTACTTTAAGCCACCAGGTCCAGGACTTGAACCATAGTCGACTACATGGGAGTCCAGCAACATAGCCATTATACCAACTGCTAGTCCCAGTGCCTGGTATGAGTTTTAAGCTGCTGAGGCTGGCACTTGAACCATGGTCAATTACATGGGAGTCCTGCAATGTAACCATTATGCTATCTGCTGGTCCCGACTCTCTCTTTGTTAATGAGATAAAGAGAGAGAGACAGAGAGACAGAGAGTGAGGTTTTGGGTTCATTTTCTCATTTGACCGGGTCCCACTGGCACCCTCTGCCCGCAGTCTCCTACTCAGCCCGGGCTGTGCTGCCGCGCTCAGCCTGCTCGGGTTTACGGTGGTCAGCACCTGGGTCTCTGATATGGTCCAGCCCCACGCAGTGGCACCCCGCCATTTGTGCCACCGTGACTGGACCTCTCTCCCACGTGAGTGCAACACTACCCTTCAGGACTGATGAGTGCATTTGCACATCTTTAATTTTTGATATCATCAAATATTCTTCTACTGTTCATTTCTGGTTGACTGCTTCTGTATTTCTGTTTGTACAAACTTTTCATCTCCTTTGTAAATTTTCAGTTGAGAGTTTTATTAGTGTTTTTATATATTGGCATGAACTTTACATATTGGTTTGCCTTTTATTTAATCTAGGTGTTGCACTTTTTCTCCTAGTAGGGTATTTTCATTCTAGGCGAGCTGAATTTCATCGCGAAGTGATATGTCACTGTTTTTATCACTGAGAATCAATGCTATGCACGAAGCTTCCCTCCCCTCCCTCTTTGCTCTATCTCCCTGAGACCTGGCTGCTGGTCTCGAATCTCTTGTGACCATGACCTGAACATCTTGTGACTGGGACCTTCATTCAAGGAACTGGCCCGTGGCTGGGGCCATTCCAGAGAAATCCCACATGAACATCACCAAGTCAGGGATGCTAAGCCCTAGACAGACCTGCCGACTCTGCTGTCCACTAGCTAACCTTTACTGTCGCCCTCAAGCCATGTGTGTACAAACCAGATGCCTACCTTGGCGACAGGGACTCTGCATCGACCTCTCCCTGGTTTATGAATGCTTCCTCCTTGTACAATCTGAGCTCCTTTCTATGGCTGCAGGGACCACGCTTGGCTCGCCATCGGCGGAATCTTATTTACCCAGTGTAAGTGAACTCAGTTTTCTCCCGCTGGACCTCTGGGTGTGTTCTTTGGCACCAGCAAACATTATGGGCAAGCCCCCTCAGATGTGGGGCTCCGCTGGAACAATTATTTTCCCTTTTTTTCTTGGTGATTTTGGGCTTACTGCAGTAAAACAATGCATCTCTAGCAGTAATCAGGAAGCAATTATTTTGCTCATTTAGGTTGTTTCCTCATTTAGGATGATGCAGATCGAGGGATTGTTGCTGGTACATAGCTTTGATTCCTCCCCTCATCCAGAATCTGTTCCAGGATGCGGTGGGACTGAGTTCACTGTCTCCCTGTTCACTATTCAGTTTCGGTCTTATTTGTTCCCCATGGCCCTCTCACTGTGAGAACTTGCAGAGGGTAGGGTTTGTTTTCAGGCTCCATTTCTTCTGTTCATCTAAAAATCCGGAGCTCTCCCCTGTGCTAGGTAACGCCCCATTTGGGGATTCACACCTTCTAGGGTTTCAAGGCCAGCTTTGACTCCCTGGAGTCCCAGGGGTGCAGGTAGGAGGTGAGACCAAGGACGGGGTGGGCAGGTGTCTGAGAGGAGAGAGAGGGAAGCACCAGGCAGCCGGGCTGGGTTTCCATCCTCTTTTCCCCAGAGCTGCCCTATCCATCCCTTGGCACAGTGAGACTTTGTTTAAACTGTCATTTCTAATTAAAATAAAATTGCCAGAGGATGTATGCACACACAGGAGACAGAGACAGAGAGAAAGCAAGACAGCACCCCACGGAGGGTGGTTATGCCAAAAGCCCTTCTTGGTACCAATCAAAACAGTTGGCCAACAATGGGTTGCAGAGGGGAGGATAGGAGACATCTGTTTGTTCCTAAGATGTTCTAGAATTCCATCCCTCAGTCAACCAAGTTGCCAACGTTGCCTCTCAGTCCACCTGCGAAAGAGAAGACAAGCGTGCCGGATCTGGAACACACCGGTGTCGCTAATGCTGACGTGAACTTAGCAGCAGACAGAACAGCTAGAGCCTTCAGGGAACTTTCCTCACCTCACCAGGCACCGGGGAAAGAGGAAAGGTGAGGAAGTTGCTGTCACTATGGCAACAAAGTGACCTGGTCCTGGTTGACTTCTTCTGTATTTCTGTTTGTGCAAACTTTTCATCTCCTTTGCAAATGATGGTGGTGCAGTGCTGGTAGAAGCTGCCAAGGAGCCCGCGTGTCTGGGGAAAGTCTGGGGAAGCCAGGCAGAGAGGCTCAAAAATATATTTCCTCCTCGACAAGGAAGTAGAAAAGAACAGACTCCGTCGAACAAGAAAGAAAACTTACTATGAGCCAAGACGAAATGGTGTTTCCTAAGAAGAAACTGCAGCTTGGTGTGTTTTCCTCGAGTGATGTGATTTATAACAACACGTGGAACCAAATCCCTCTGTGGAGTCTAGAGCAATGGTGGCTGCAGGACCACTGGCTAGAACCGCGTTGCATTGACAGAACCCCGATGCATTGACATGAACCCCAACTGGCCAATTTGATGGGTGCTCAATTTGTCTAAGAAATTATTTGTTAAATTTACCAAATGTACTGATTGTGCTTTTAAAAGCCTTTGAAGGGAAAGCCGAACTGGAGTCATGATGATGGGAGATTGTCTTCTGCATATTAACTAGACGAAGACTGATCCAGCGCCCGGCGAAAAGAAAGACGGGAGAACCCTGAAGTGCCACATGTGGAAGAAAGCAGAACAACCTCGCTGAAAAGCTCCCCTCACATAAAATGCTCGTTTCTCACTCAAATGTTGACCTCTCACTGGTCACAGGACTGTTTGGGCCCCCTGGGATTTCCTTCAGATGTTTCGGAACATGATTCTTTTTTTCCCAAGCTTTAAGCATTTCAAATATTCTTTGCTAATTCTTCAGATGGCATGTCAGCCTTACTTTTGCATTTTTGTTTTTTTTTTG